CGCTTAACCAACTGAGCCACCCAGGCGTCCCAGTCTATTTTTAATTTTGATGGGAACTGCCAAACTATTTTCCAAAGTGGCTATACCATTTTGCATTCCCACCCACAAGCTATGTGTGGTGTAGTTTCTCCACATCCTCACTAGCAATTGATGTTATCACTATTTTTTCATGTTAGCCATTTTAATAGGTGGTTCACTGTAGTTCTTATCTTTTAAGACCTAAGTCAAAAGTTACCTCTGTAGAGCCTTTTCTAACATCTTCTAGAAAAGTCAGTTAGTCCCTTCTCTGTGCCATCTCTGATACTTCATTTATCATTGTATTTTAATTACTGATTAACATAGTATGAGCCTTCCCCTCTGTTCTGAGCCACATGAATATAAGAGCTGTGTCATATTCATCTTTGTTCCTGCAGCATCTTGTACAGTTAGATGCTGGACACACAGAAGGCACTCAGTAAATAGGTGCAAAATGAGGGAAAGAATGAATGAGGAAACATTAGTCTTTCTTGCCTCCCCTTTCTTCCTGTTAAGCTATAAACCTCTACAGAACAGAAATCATGCCTTCTTCTGTGTCTCCTGATAACAGCTAATAGGGTGCCCTGTACATGTAGATGCTCAATAAATGTTAGCTAACTATTCAGGTGGCTTATCTTCCCTCTGCATCAGGAGATAAGCACATGAAAGAGAGAATAGGCTTGAGTATTTCTCTATTAAGGATCATATGCCATAAGTTTTGTATTATTCTTATAATTTCCACAGTCACACAGTATTTGTCTGCATAGATGAGAAATCAAAACAAAACAGTCTTTTGAGTCAAAGAATACCTCTGCAGCTGAGCACTTTTCAATAGTTTCAATACCCCGGTTACATATGAATTTGGGAGAATAACATTTTATATCCCTTGAATTCTTTTTGCAGTTTTCGGAGGATCTGGAATATTTCTGTTTTTGCTGCACTGGTATAATTTGACATGTTGATTATGAAGTGGTCATTAACCCCAACATTTTTTATCACTTTCTGAGTCTGCATTTTCTCAACTCTGAAGTATGTTAATTTGCACTTGTTTATATGTCTCTGTAAGAGTTACTCAGGCCCATGAGGACTGGTATATGTTTTGTCTGGAAAATAGATTGTAAGCCCCTTGAGAGGAGGGACCTTATAACTCCGAAGAATGTATTCTGGACAGTGTCATTGTTCAATTAATGATAATACTAGAAGCCTGACTAATGTCATCTGTCACATTGACAACTTCCTTAGAAGTTAGATGCTTCTAACTGTCAGGGGGAAAAAAAAGCTGTTACATTGATTTAATAGCACTGTATGATTCTACCCAAAATTATCCTTATTATTGCTCACTACAACTTATTCTTTAGGGTGCTTTCAGATTTATAATTTTGGATCAATGGTTATCATTTCCTACTCTATAAGACTCTGGTTACATATGATTTAGGGAGGGCTACATTTCATAACCCAGAAGTCCTTTAGCATAATAGAAAGTAAGCTGGTAACATCTATGCTTTCAAAGCATGTTAATTCTCTGCAGCAATTTCCATTGATAACTAGATAATAAACTCCAAGTATGTTGACAATCTTAAATCATCAGAACTGTTCAGTGTATATGTCTTACTTTCCCAGATTGTAAAATGGAATAAATATGTATACTCTGTCCTGTGGCTGTTGAAGTTAAGTGAATATGAATATTTAAAGGAAGATTGTGTTCTAAAGCATAAGGGTAAACTTGGTCCTTGGTAAGGTGAAAGTGGAGGAAATGTTTTTCCTGATTCGGGTTTTTTAAGGTATAATTTACATACAGTCTGATTCACCCTTTTTAGATGAAAAGTTTGATGACTTTGACAAGTTGGGTCTTTTTTTCCTTCACTATTTGCTGACTCAACTATACCTCCAACTGCTCCCCCCACCACCACCACCACCCCTAGACCAGACTGATCTATCTTTTTCTGACATTTTCTATCCTTTCTCTTTTCTACAGTGTACTAAAGGAGGTATACATAGCCTTTAATCCCAAAGCAGTGGTCTTACAGCTGGGAGCTGATACGATTGCTGGGGATCCCATGTGCTCCTTTAACATGACTCCAGTGGGAATTGGCAAATGTCTTAAGTACATCCTTCAGTGGCAGTTGGCAACACTCATTTTGGGAGGAGGTGAGTACAAAGAAAGGTCACCAGGAGAATTTGCTGACCTTCTTCCACGTTTTGTCCGTTGACACTGAGGAAAACTTGGCTTTCTTAGATTGGATAATACCAACCTGCCTGTGATCCAGAGGGTTGAGTCAAAGAACTCTGCCCCCTTCACAATTCAGCATAAGGAAGTACTGTGACACACTTCTCCTCAGCTTGGCATGTGCATTGACTCCTTGGCACTCTGAAGTCTCAGTTTCACTTCCTGAAGCAAAGGTCCTTTGGTTAAAGGTGCCATCAGATCTTATTAAGAATAGCAGATACTAACTTCAGTGGACTTCAATCCATCTTCTCTCAATATAGTTTTTGACTCTCAGTTCTAATAATCATCTTTTGGAAACGTACCACTAAAATTCTAAGTCTACTCATATAAAAGTAGTAAATACATGAATGAATTAAATATCTAAGCTGAATTCAAGGATGACTTCTCCCTCTAACCCCCACCAAAAGAATCATGGATTTGTTACAATAAAGCAAAATTGAGAGATCTAGAGTCTCTTGGGCATCCTTGCCTTCAGTGTGTACTGACATTTTGTATGACTTAACCAACATAAAGCTGGGTCTATTCAATAGAAGCATTTACACATTTGCGAAAGGTACTTTTTACAACCTCAACTACCTTTGAAGATTCCTTGCTAAGAATCTTCTGACTATCCATCTGGCACAATCTTTATTTCACTGGGTGAATGGATTGGTGTGTTAAAATCACATGGTCAAGCAGATTGAGCTTAAAATGCATGTATTATGGAACAGCTAATAGTTTGTTGTTTTGTCAACCTGTTGTAAAAACCAAATTAGAGGAGGCTGTGGGAAGGCCTTATGAAAATGAGTGAGTATTCAACACAAATACACAAGCCTGGTCCTTTGGCAGCCTCAAATCCTAGAGGGATCAAAATTACAGGTGCTTACAAGAGGTAACATCTTATGAAAAGCTGGCAAAACATCTATTAACTTCAACTCAGGGAAAAGATAAAATTGATAAGTATTGTATGACATATTACTTTCCTTGACAGCACTAAGGATGCTGATGACGATACAGGTACAACCAAGGGGAAGAAAAAAGCCCTTTCCACAACGTACATCTGCACAAATTCAACTTTTGTTTGTGGCTACTGCCTTTACTTGGCATTTTCAAAGTCTCTTTGCTTTCTCAGCCCAAAGTTTTGGCTTTTGGATATATAACTCTTCTTATGCAGTATGTGTACTCCTGAAAATTCCTGTATGTAAATGGAATTTTTGCAAATCAAATCATACTGTGTATGTACCAGAGAGAGCTTACTACTTAAAATCTAGAGTGAATCTTTTTGAAATCAAATAATCATACCCAATAAGTTGATCTTCTAAATTCAGATTTTTCACATCAGGAGTGTTTAAAGTAGTAAGTGTACTATTTCACTTAAATTCTCAATCCCCAGTAACACATAGACAACCAGTGGAGATGGCCATGTCCCCAAGCTTCATTAGACCCCACTGAGGCCTAAAAGACATTCCAAAATCCCCAGTATCCCTGACCTTTCAAGGAGAAAGGCTTTCAAGGCTTGAGAGAAAGGTGACCATATATCCCAATTTATACATGTTATCCCAGTGTTCCCTTTTACTGTTAAAATGTACCATTTGGACAGTAAATTATATGGTTACCCTACCTAAAATAGACCAGCTTCTATTTCCCTCAGGCTGCACTGAGGTTAGGAAATCAGTCCATTTCATCCTCACACTCTTGGAATTTAGCTAAAGGCCAATGTTCTAATGCTTGCATGGCAGAACACATCTATTCAGTGCAAAAATATGCTGATTATTAGCCAGTATAATATGGCTGCTGGGTGACTGTGACAGAACCTGACGAGATGGGTCAGAGCGTCAGTCAACAGTCCCTTCCTCTTCTCATTCTCTTTGATCTCTGTCACTAGGCCTGTGTTTTGTGGAGAAAAGGAAAATGCTGATCATTGAAAGAAGGAAGTCTATGTCTGTCAGCATTTTCCATTTCTCTTTCCTGGGTATTTCTAGGGCTATATCTGCCAGTGGCTTTAACATACAAATTACATCCAGCAGCCGTTTTATAGAATTGTTGCAAAATTCATCACAGAAACCTTGACATTGGGTAGGTTGCCCCAAGAGATCCGGGTTCCAGGGATCTCAATCTTGCTGATGACTTGATGAAATGGAGGAGCTTGGAATCCTCGGATACATATTTGTTCAGAGATGAGGGCCTCTTTAATCTTTGCAGGCCTTAGACTTCCTAGTTCCACACCATGCATGGTCTGACTAGTCCACTAAAGTCCGTCTACTAGGTGGTTCAAAAACATCATAAAGGGATGTTTAGGTGAAATTCTGCAAGTTGGAGTTGTCTTTTTAGCCCTTTTATTAAAACATTTTTCTCTCCTTCCTTACCCTCCTTCCCTCTCCTGCTGTTTTGTGACTGTTCTTTCCTAACTTCACAATTCTTGATGGAGACAGGAGGCTATAACCTTGCCAACACGGCTCGATGCTGGACATACTTGACCGGGGTCATCCTAGGGAAAACACTATCCTCTGAGATTCCAGATCATGAGGTAAGTAAGGCTCTGACAAGTCCTCTCTTCTTTAAGGGGAAGAGCTGAGTCATTCCACCTAATCAAAATCACGTCCTCACCACTCAATACCGTTTTGTTGAGAGACACTCCAATAACAATAACACACTGTCTTGGCAGAATAGTGGACTCTTGTTCCAAAATATCCAAGACCTTCTGCCTTTTTTTACAAGAGATCTCAAAGGCCAACTAACTTTAATTTCTCAATTAATTACAGAGACTGTGGGAAGGGGTCACCTGTTCACACAAAGAACTCTTTGGAATGTGTGCATATTTTCATCCCCTAGTCTCAAAACAGAAGGAGCAATTTTTAAAATGTATAAGCTGGGTTCTTGGCTATCTTTCAAAAGTCCCATAGGTGGTATGTCACACCTATGTTCCTTGGGGTTAGTCCTGGTCTTTCAGTTTTCTTTGACTAAGGTAAAATTTAAGAAACACAGAATCACCACAAAGATGTGTCTGGTGTTTTTCCAGCAATTAGTGGCGCACAGAGGTTGGGGGAAGAGCACCTAAAATGTGAAACTTCATTTGAACTTTTGCCATTTTCTCTAGTCAAATGAGATGGCCTATCCACTTTCTGAAGCAAGGATGTCTCTTTTAGCTTTCTCAAAACAGGTTAACAGAAAGCTGTCTGAGCCCAGTGCGTGTGCTGATTATCCCTTATGTGAAGGTGTACCCCTTCTCTTCCCACCCCTCCCCACACCTGGCAGGAAGCATGTCATCACAGATCAAGATGTATAGTTGTCGGGCTTAGACTGATTGTGTGGCTTATAATAAAACCAGTGTGCGAACCAGTACCTGTAGCCCCGTTTTCTCAAGCCATTCCCCATAGAGATGGTACTTCGGGGATGTTTTGATTCCTGCCAGATGCAGGATCTGTACACTTGGGAGCACTATTCTTTTTAAAGTTACTATTAGTTTTTTAAAAATTAGAAACAACTTCAACTAATTCCCTTCCAATTTTCTTCTAAACGCAAATGAGGTATAATATGTATCTCTGAAAAACCACTCAGTGTGTCTAGAATACAAATAGAAGGCATGCTATAATTTGAGACAATTTGCTGGTGTCAGGGTTAATAGAAGTCTCTTTTCTTGACTTACCTTTGTTCAGTATTTGGAAGCTTTATGAAATATAAAGATGAGCAAACAAATTACATTTGTGAGCAAATGTAATCGCTGTTATTGCTGTGGGACTATCTCCGACTGCATCGTAATTTAAAGCATTGAGACTTTAAAAACTGATCAAGTTATGTCAAAAAGGAGTTTTAAACTGTAGGGGCTTGAATTGAAAACGAGTGTTCTGTTCCTAGGCAACAATGCAAATCCATAGATTCATCTGTCTTAAAAGGTTGATAAAATTTTAATAAAGATGAATACTGCCTCTGGTACCTGGAGAAGCTATGTGCCTGAATAGATAGGGTTTGGGCCTTATACATAGACATGTCCCCTTTATGCTGACATATTCTGCCAGATTAAATAATATACAATGTATGCAAATTGCCTAGCACAGTTCTTGGCACATAATAGGCACTTTTGAAATGCAAGTTTTCTCCTTCCCCTCTGCATGCTCCCAGCACCTCCTTATACCCAGACATTTATGACTTTGTCGCTCATAAATGTGTCCAAACCCTTTTTGAATCCCTTCTGTCATATCCTTCTGGTATAAGAGATGTGAGTCATCCAAGAAGGAACAAAGAAGAAAATTGAAATGACAGTCTTCCATGTACAATAAGATAACATTTTAATGAAAATTGCCAAAAATAGACTGCACAGTGTGAAGGCATATATAAGTTCTGTGCCACAATACACAGTTGCACACAGATATCCTTGTGGTTCTCTGTAATCAGGTCAACAAATGGTGCATCAAAAAATATTTACTGAGCACCCATTGTGTGGCAGGCACCATGCTAGGTGTCTTGGAAGCTGCAAAGACACTAAGACCTCATCTTGTCTCTTACCTCAAGCAGCCTGGGAGGGAGGCTGGTATAAGTTCTAGGGAGACAAGTAGATACACAAATAATTATATTACAGAGCAGAGTAAGAACCACAAGATAGTAGGAACAATGATTGTGGAGATGTGCATCAAATATGAAAGGGATACAAAGGAGTGTACAAGATACCCTGCCTTCCAGGAGCTGAAAATATAATTGAGAAATCTAGTCAATGAAAAGGTCAAGATAGTGCAGCAGTCAGCTACAGTCTGGCTGACCCCCTCACTGTCTTCACTTTCAGTCTTGGGCTTGTGTTCTTCTGTGTCCTAGGATAATAATCTTCCTCCTCCAAATGTTCTTTCCCCATCTGTCTCTTGTCTTCCTAGGTGCAGCTTCAAGCCCTGTGCCTTTAAAAATCCCTTACCATATGTATACCAAGGCCCTTTGAGCTCTTCCTTCACATTCATTTATTCCTTCATTCATTTAACAAGTATTCATGGGGACCCTATTACTTGCCAGGCCCTATTCAAACTTGAATTCAGAGCTACAAAGACTAGCAAGTAAACCCAGTGCCCTCAAAAATTTCACCATCTAATAAAGGCGACAGAACAATGTGCCCAAATCCAGGACAGTTGAGGAGAATAGAAGAAATGTTTCACCAAGACTTTGAACTGAATCTTGGAGGTTGATTGGGAGTTTGCCAGGTGAAGAAGAGCGAAAGACATTCTAGGCAAAGGGAACAAGGATTGGAAAAGACCTGGTGCCTCATGGGATGAGGGAGAAGTTTGATATGTAGTAGAACAGAATTTATGAGGGAAAGTGGGAAGAATTAAGGCTTGAATGAAAATTGGAGCCAGATTATGAAGAGACTTGAACGCTGCACTAAAGAGTTTATTTATACTTTTTTTTTTCTGTGAAAACAGATGAGCTTTGGTTTTTAGAAAGCTTACTCAATAGCATATGGAAGATAGATTGCAAAAGGGAGAGACTTGAGAAAGGCAAACCTGTAAAGAGGTTCAAGTACACTCCTATAACATAGTCTATACCATTCATTTGGTCATCTGTGTTTTGGTTGTCTGTATTTCCCCTCAGTGCTTAGCACAGTGTTAGCTACCGACCTTGTTGGTGTTCATTCATTGAATGAACAACTTAATAAATGAGTGTTTGAATAATAAGCATCTCAATATTCACATTGGAAAAATCTTTTTAAGATGGAAGAATTGGAAGCCTTTTGCTGGAAAAGCTTCCAGTAGCAACCACCCATCCTTTGCAAGAAGTACCAGGTATCCCAGCTGTAGGAAACAGATGTGTCCATGGGAAAACACTAGATTGCCAGTTGAGGGAAGGGAGTTGAGAAGACAAGCCCAGCACAAATATTATAAGTCATTAGTGGTGAGATTTCAATCACAGTGCTCATGAGATATAAAACCAGTGATGTCATAAAGCCAGTGATCAGGGAGTTAGTCCCAGCTCAGGAATTGGGGAGCCGGGCATGGAATAAAGAAGCAATCCCATCTGGAAGAAGAGTTGGGCCCAGCTTGAAAAGCTGAGAGGAAGGAAACCTGCCCATATGCCTGGCTCAGGTATCTCTACCATAGAGAAAGCCCAAAGGTGGCATGAAGTCCCATACAAAGACCAGTACATGGCTAATTTAGCAAATCACCCACTCTGTGTAATAAAGTTTATGGACTATCATATATAAGAATGTTCTGTAATCCAGTAATACTATTTGGATCCTATGATCCAGGATAGAGTATGGCAGTTATGTTATATAATGTATGCATATATACATATATATATATATATGTGTATGTACAGACATATTAGGTATATGTATATATCTGAATCAGTTAGGTTTACTAACAAAATCTAGTGAATGAAAAATATTTACTTAACCAGACCACTTTTGATGGACTGGTTGGATAAACTATGCCTGACTCATATGAGGGAATATATGTAGCCATTGAAAAGAATCGAGTAGATTTATATACAAGAGTGTTACTGATGTAAAACAGTCTTGCGGTGCATCTGTGGATTGCACTGAATCTATAGATCGGTTTGGGGAGGAATAACATCTTAACAATATTTAATCTTTCAATCCATGAATTTGCTATATCTCTCCATTTTCTTAAGTCTTTAATTTCAAATTTTCATTTATACTTTTCAGTGAACACCTCTTGCACAAATTCTGTTATATTTATCCCTAAGTATTTCATGATTTTGATGTTATTATAAATGATATTTTAAAATTTCAGTTTCTAATTGTTTGTTGCTAGAATATAGAAACCCAATTGATTTTATACTGATCTTGAATAATGTATCATTGCTAAACTCATTAGCTCTAGTAGCTTTTTGTAGATTCATTAGCATGTTTCATGTATACAAACATGTCATCTATGAATAAAGAAAGTTTTACTTATTCCTTTACAATCTTCATGACTTTTATTTCTTTTTCTTGCCTTATTACACTGGTTGGGACCTCCAATTTGATGTTAAATAGAAGTGGTTAGAGCAAACATCCTTGTCTTGTTCCTGATCATAGGGGGAAGCACTTAATCTTTTACTGTGAAGTGTGATGTTAGCTGTAGGTTTTTTCACAAATGTTCTCTATTAAGTTGAAGAAGATCCCTTCTGTTCCTAATTTACTGAGAAGTTTTCTCACAAATGAGTGTTAAATTTTGTCAAATGCTTTTTTCCCCATCTACTGGAATGATCATATGGTGTCCTCTTATTCTGTCAATACAGTAAATTGCATTAATTGTTGCCTTTTTAAATGTTAAACAACCCTTGCATTGCTGGAATAAACCCTTGTTGGTCACGGTATATTCTTTTTATATATTGCTGGATTCAGTTTCCTGAAATTTTCTCAAGGATTTTTTGTGTCAGTGTTGATGAGGGATGTTGACCTGCTGTTTTCTTGTAATGTCTTTGTCTGGTTTTGATATCAAGGCAATGCTGATCTTATAAAATGACTTGGGAAGTGTCCCCACCTCCTCTCTTTTTCTGAAAGAGTTTATGTAAAATCGATACTATGTCTTACTTAAGTGTTTGATAGAATTCACCGGTGAAGACATTTGAGCCTGGAGTTTTCTTTGTGGGAAGGTTTTTAATTATGAATTCTATTTCTTTAATAGTTACATAACTTCAGATTTTCTGTTTCTTCTGGCTTCCATGTTGATAATTTGTCTTTGAGGAATTTGCCCATTCGCTTATAATATTATTTTATTATTGTTTGAATGTCTGTAGAAGCTGTAGTGATAGCCCCTCTTTCATTCCTAGTTTTGCTAATTTCTTTGTTTTTTCTGATCATTTTATCTTGTGGCTTATCAGTTTTATTGAATTGTATTTTTTTCAAAGAACCAGCTTTTAGTTTCATTGACTTTATTTTTCTCTTTTCTATTTTATTATTTCTGCTCATATCTTTGTTATTTCCTTCCTTCTACTTACTTTGTATTGATTATTAATACTTCTAGTTCTTCTTCTAGTCTCTTATGATAGAAACATAGTTTATTAATTTTAAACCTTTCTTCTTTTCTAATACAAGCATTTTATTCTATAAATATTCATCTAAGCACTGCTTTAGCTGCATCCCATAGATTTTGATGTTTCCATTTTCAGTTGCTTCAAAGTATTTTCTAATTTTCTTCTTTAACTGATGAGTTATTTAGAAGCATGGGTTTTTAAAAATTAATTTCCAAATATTTTAGGATTTTCCAGATGTCTTTCTATTTACATTCATTTTAATTCTGTTGTGCTCAGAGAACATACTTTGCATGATTTCAGTCATTTTATATTTCTTGGAATTTGTTTTACAGCCCAGCATATGACCTATCCTGATGAATGCTTTATGTGCAATTTGCAAAGAATGTGTATTTTCCTGTTATTGGACAGCATTTTTTATCATTGTCAGTTAGGTCAGGTTAGTTGAGAGTGTTGTTTACATCTTCTATATCCCTACGGATTTTGTCTGCTTGTTCTGTCAGTTACCAAGAAAGTTGAAATCTCCAACCATGATTTTGGATTTGGCTATTTTTCCTTTCACTGATGTTGATTTGGGCTTCGTGTATTTTTGAAGCTTTGTTATTAGATGTATACACATTTAGGGTTGTTATATCTTCTTGATGAATTGACCCCTCTATTATTATGAAATATTGCTCTTTATCTCTGGTAATATTCTTTGTTCTGAAGTCTACTTTGTCTGATTTCAATATTGTCACATCTGTGACAATTTGATTATTATTTGAGTGGTATGATTATTATGATTATTATTTGGATATCTTCATCTATTCCTTTATTTTTAACCTATTTGTGTTTTCATATTTAAATTGAATTTCTTATAGACCACATATAGTTGGGTCATGATTTTTTATCTAGTCTGGTCTGACAATCTCTGCCTTTTGGTTGGTGTGCCTACATCACTTATGTTTACCTAAATTATTTATATGTTTAGGTTTAAGTCCATTTTCCTATTTGTTTTCTATTTGTCCCATCTATTCCTTGTGTCTTTCTATTTTCCTGACTTTTTTTGAACTAAATGAGTATTTTTAAGTCCATTTGTCTCTTTTATTTGCTTATTATCTGTAACTGTTTTCATTTTTTGTGGTTCCTCTGGGGTTCACAGTATGCATTTCTAACTTACCGTATTTTACTTTCAAATAGTATTACACTACTTCATGTACAATATAGCACCCTTATTACAGTGTTCTTCCATTTTTCCCCTTTCCTTCCCTTGTGCTATTGTAGTCCTATATTTTACTTTTGCATATGTTATAAACCCCATGATATATTGTTATTGTCTTGCTTTAAACAGTCAATATATTTCTAAAATTTTAAAACATTTATTAATTTACTTAAAATAAGAATAATAAACCCAGTACACATTAGCACAAATAACATGTTGTGATTTTTAAAAAATAACTCTATTTTTCAAAACAAAAAAAAAGTCATGAGAAGAATGTCATTGCTATACATTTTTGCAGATCTCTATAATGTCTGGCTTAATAAATGACAGCTTACTTCTCATACCAGCCTCTACAATGTGTTATGATGTTTTTGTTAAAGTACATGAAGAAAATCCAGCTTCACATAGATATGTAGTTGGAAAAGGGAGGAGTATTTTAATAACCTTTACAGATAACTGTGGATATGCTTCTTTGATACTACGTAAAAACTCTACAAATGGTAGTTTCTTAAAGGTTAATGCTGTATGGAATCTGAAACTGTTACCGGTGAAATTTTCATATACTGTTCCATTAAAATTCATTAGTCATCTTGTACTTTGAATAGATATTTGACCCATCTTGTACATATTGATTACTTGGAAAATATTGGTTCACCAAATTATGTGAATATTACAAATGCTGAAACAGCTT